CGGCGCCGGCGTCAGCGGCGTCGTCCTCTGCGAGCAGCTGCTTCGCGAGCCCCCTGTAGTCGCCGAAGAGCAGCGGGTCTGCCAGCACCGGCTCGGCCGCCGCGCCCCAGCGGCGCGCCACGGCGCCCGCGATCGCGTCGCGCACGACCGCCTTGTCCTCCGGGCAGATCATGCGGTCGTGGAACACGCGCAGCGCCTCGTTGCGCCACAGCCGCACCACTGACGCTGCGTCGGGGAACCTGGGTCGGGGATAGGCGCGCGCACATGCATTAAGCAGGGGGGGATGCCGCTGGGAGATGACCCTTTGCGTGCGGGCGGGGCGCCTGGCAACAGGGGGAGGTGCGGCCTGTTTAACTGATCGCAGCCTTTTGCATGCATGCGGGCGGGCCCCAGGAACGAACAGGATTTAAGGTTCTGGGTTCTGGGTTCAGGGACTGGAAGCCAGTGTTGCCTCACTTGGCGGGCGTGGCGCGCAGCAGGCCCTCATACACCCGGCTGAGGTCCCTCAGGTTGAAGACGTAGTGGAAGCGGCTGGGCGTGGGCGGCAGGCGCTCCACCACGTGCGAGAAGAGCTCCAGGGTCGCGTCTGTCAGGCCGCCGCCATCGCCGAGGCCTTCACGAACCTGTGTGATTTTGTGTGATTATGTGTGAATATGGGTGTGCTTGTTTGTGTGTGTGAGGGTGTGTGTGTGTGTGTGGGGGGGGTGTGGGGGGTGGTGGGGGGGGCCTTGTGTGAGTGCAGACGCATGCACAGACTTGACTGCCTGCAGGCCGCCACTTTGCAGGAAAGCCTGCAAAGCATTTGCTCGTGCAAGTGTTGCTGCGTGCAGGTCTTCAGGCGGCAGCGGGGGCTCACTGCATCTGGCATGCGTGCCAGGTGGCCGGCGAGGATGGTCTGGTAGATGGCCCTCAGGTTGTCGTTGGAGGGCGTCGCGATCTCAAACACGCTGAACAGGCTGATGAAGCGGGGGTCCACGCTGTTGCGCGCGCCGCCGGGCGGCCCCATGGCGCCCACCACCTGCGTGCACGGGCAGCAGTGCACCCTGAAGTGTGCATAAAGTGGCTGCTGCTTCTTTGCATGCAGGCCTGACCTTGACAGCAAGTTGCAGCGACGGATTGCTCACCCACAGTCCGCAGTGGCGCCTGGCACAGGCCCCGCCCTCCCTAGCTCCATGGCTCAAACCCCCAACAGCCTCCAAATACTCCCTCGGCAACACTGCAACCCATAAGGTGGCCCCAAAACCTCCCCACCTGCACGTCCTTGAGGTTCTTCCACCCCAGCTCCTTGCCGCGGTCGTACATGCCGCGCCGCTCCACCACCTGCCGCAGCAGCGCAATGGGCTGCTGCGTGCCGTACGCGTCCACGCGCGGCATGTTGAGGTCGTCGATGAACAGCACCAGGCGCTTGCCCACGGGGGGCCCGTACGTGTCCTGAGGGGGGGGGGGGAGGGAGGGGCCGGACGCAGCATAGTCAGCGTGCGGTCGGCACAGAACGCCTGTGACGGCGTGGCTTCAAGGAGCTTGCAAAAGTTGCGACCACGGGTGCTGACTTGCAACTCTGCCAGGTGGTGGTAAAAACGCACATTACTTTGCTGCACACACCCCTGGAAGCGTACTTGCAAACTGTGTGTGCATTGCACCCAACCCCCTAACTCCCACCCCTTCCCACATCCATCCCTTCCCATCCGACGGATAACCCTCCTCGGCCCGCCCACCTTGGTGCGCTTCTCCACGCAGTCCTCGATGGCGCGCTGCACGTCCGTACTGCTGGTCCTGCTGCTGAACCCCAGCGTGCGCGACGTGGCGGGCCAGAACTGGTCCAGGCCGGCCAGGAAGGCCGAGATGGTGACGCTCTTGGCGGTGCCGCTGTCGCCCACAAACAGGCAGGGGCGGCCGGCGCCGGCGACGGTCTTGAGCAGCCAGGTGGACCTGGGGGTGGGGCGAGGGGCAGCCGAGGGACGGGGTGCAGCGGGTGTCGCACTGAGGAGATTTGGGCGGGCAAAAAGCACGCCACGTGTCCAGATGTCCGATAACTTGTCGCGAGGGGATGGCTGGGGGGGCTGCATCGGTCCTTCAAAGGTAGGGAGCAAGATCCAAGGGCCCATGTGACTGCGATGAATCTGCTTGCAGCGCACCTGACGGTGTCCACCGTGGGGACGAGTATCTTGGAAAACGCGCCGTCCGCCGGGGGGACGTAAGGTCCAACCTGCAGTGTGTCAGGGTGCAACGGCGCCCCGTCAGTGGAGCTTTCTCCCTTGTGTTTCCTTAACGCAGCCTCCTGAGTCGAGCCTCTTCAGCATTCAAGACCGGCCGTGGACCGCGCGGGTGCAGGGCGCCTGGTGCATGCACGCCCCGCGCGGTCGCAGCCGGCCCCGCCCGCCACCTGACTCTTCCAGGAGCGCCAGCAGCCGTCCTTGGCGTCGAAGCAGTACTCGTACAGCGAGCGAGATGGCAGCTGCCCGGGAGATACCCTGTGGTGATTGAGTGCACGGCGATTTGTTGCCGACTGCCCTGCTCTCTTGGGGCCGCCGCCGGCACACCTGCTGACCGCATGCTCCTTCACAACCGTGAGGGCCTGGTTGTACCAGTACTGACGCACTAATTGGCAGGCGAAAGTATGAATGGCGTAATTCCCAGGCACTAGCGGAGCAGCTTTGAACATGGTGCCCACCCCTATGGGAGCCCCCTCCGTATATTGCTCTCACCTGTCGCTGTCGATCGTGCCCATAGCAGCGATGCTGCAGATGAAGGCGTCGAACCGCTCGCGCTCTTTGGCCTCTGGGCGCTGCACGAGGCAGGCGCCGATGGACCACACACAGCAGAAGATGAACAGGCCCTCCAGCACCTGCCGGTCATCAAGGGCGTGTGCCTTGTCGTGAAGGACAAGGCTTTGCAAAGGCGTCAATTTCAGCTGGGGCTACGCAGCCCCTTCCCATGCTTCGCAACGATCCTCTCAATCCCTAGTGTCTGCTTTGAGCCTGTGTCATCTATTAGCAGGGTTATGCTGCCGCCTCTGCAGCGCGGGCGTCTATCAATACATCCTTCCCACCCTGCGCCCACCTGCGGGTCCAGCACCTTGCCCCCGCCCTCCGCGCCCTCCCCTGCGCCCGCCCCCCCTAGTGTCGCGTCCAGCAGGCCGCACAGCTGCGCCAGCAGGTTCAGGCCCGTCAGCGGGACGCTCTGGGCCGGCCTCTTGACAACGTCGCCGCCGTCAAGCCCCTCAACCACCCAGTCGATGCCGGGGGCCGCGTACTTTTCAAAGAGCGGCCGCAGCGCGTCGGCCTCGCCGGGGGCGGTGCGGCCGTTGAGCCAGCGCCAGAGGAAGGGGCGCCAGCCAAGGTTGCGGCTGTCCACAAACACCATGCCGCACCTGCAGGCCGGGAAGGTAGGTGGTTTCCTCAACATTTGATTTGCCAAGCTTCAACCCGTGGCTGTCCGTCTAACCAGTCGCATACATAGCTCACTGGCAATGCGGCTGGCCGGGTTGATTGCTTGTACAGCATAGCGCCCAAAGGAGAGTCTGTTCACCTGCTGATGGTGGCGGGTGACGCGTACTGCAGGTCCGCCACCTCGAACAGCAGCTTGACGTGCGGCGCCAGGCGGATGCGCTCGCCGTTTGGCAGCGTGAGCAGCTTGTTGTCGTCCATCACGCTGTTCATGTTCTCGACCCACACCTGCGCGTGAACGGCGTGAGCCGTGCACCGGCCCCGGAGCATGCAGCAGGTGCAAAGTGATATCCCGGCTAGGACCAGCGCTGTGTGATCTGAGCCTACTGGCGGCAACCTGGGAACCGAGGCGCATGCGGAAAGCAATGGGAGGGCCGGGCCGCAGGCTGCAAGCCACGCGCAGCCTCACCCACGCACCGCGTCGACGTCGCCGTCAAAAACGATGTAGCGGGCCTCATCCCTCTCCGGCGGCAGCGGCTTGTTCAGCTCCCTGGGGAGGACGCGGCCGTGGCAAAACAGGCGGTGTGTGCCCACATAAGCAAAAGGAATGAGCGTCATCAGCAACGTGAATTGTCAGATTAAGCCAAGGTTGCATCTTAGAAAAAGCCTGGGACGGCTGTATGTTGCAACCCAGGGCACCCCCCCTCCCCTCGCAATCAGCACGAACGTCTTGCTGCATGCCTGAAGATGTTTGACAGCAGGCCGTCTGTCCAGTCGCGCGTGTCCTTGTCCAGCACCCCGTACAGCTCAGACACGCTGATGGCCTTGGGGTTGAGCACGCTCAGCGTGGTCTTGCGCCCCAGGCGCCCCTGGAGGATTGCGGGTGTTCAAAGATAAGCGACAGTCGCGGCAAGGCAGAATAGGTTCCAGGCTTCAGGCTTTGGGTTCGAGGCCAAACCTCGAGCAATGAGTGCCGCTCCTTTGTCAGTAGACCCGATAATCTCTGCCCCCTCTCGCTGGCGCCAGTACAGCTGCCGAGGCCGTCCACAGCCCCCTGCCCACCTGCGCGCGTGCCAGGGCCTGCAGGATGACGCTCTTGCCACCGCCGGTCTGGCCCACCACCATCGTGGTGTGGCGCGTGAGCATCACCTCATACAGCTGCACCACCTTGTCCACCTGGTTGCCAGGGGCCGTCAGGACCTGCGACAAAGCAGCCAGCCGCAACCGATTGTGCAATGATTCGGTGGTGCCACAGGAGACAGGGACAGCGGACCATCAGATCCAATCACAGCGCAAGCATGGCAGTCAGCTGACGCATGGTCTGGGCAGGCCGCAGTGCTTCAACAGCATGCACGCAGCGGTTGCCCGCCCCCTCGCCTTCCGCGCGCCGTCCCCACCTGGTACCCTGCGGCCGCCAGCTCAGCCTCCACCTCGTCGTTCAGACGGGGGTAGCGCACCCGCGGGCAGTCCAGCCCCGGGAACAGGTCCTCAACCTGGGTTTAAGCATAGAGGGGGCAGCGGCGAGGGAGAAAAGAGATTGTCATCAGATTAGGATCGCAGTTGTCAAAGCATCTTGTGGTCGTCCGCTTCTAGAGCCGTCCAGACTAGGGCTCTCTCCTGGCGTTGCCATGGCAGCGAACGAGCGGCTTCCCTGGCCACACAAGACAGCAATTGAACAAAATTCCTGGTGACGCGGCCCGCTAGCACAAATGAGTATGCTGCGCATATCGGTTACCCCCGAAGCATAGAAGCAGGCACATACCCACCCATCCACATGGGTGGTTGCGTGGGTGAGTGCAGGAGGTTGCAGCCTCCTGCACGAGAGTTTGAGCACCGCGCCGGCCCCGCGCACCAAGCCCAGGAAGAGCGGCACGTCGTCGTACACAAACTTGGGCAGGTTCATGTCCCGCAGCGCCCGCATCAGCACGAGCTGCTCCGACATGCCCGGGGAGCCGCGCTTGAGGGCGCCCGCCATGACCAGCACGCTCTTGAGGGCGCGCAGGCCAAAGTCGTAGTGGTGCTGCTTGGACAGCTGCTCGGCGGCCAGCTTGTACAGCACGGTCATCTTCTTTGCCAGGGCCTGGCCACAGTGGGTCGGTGTGAGTTGTGGGCAGCTCAAAGGGGCTGTGGATGGTGGGCAAGAGTACGCACGCAGGCCGGGGGCGTAGCACTTTCAAGGTGGTCCGAAAGATGGGTGGAAAAATCCCAATGGTCTGCCACTCAGAATCCCAACAATGATTGCATTGTGCCAAACGCCCGCACTGGCTACATCCTCCCTGAACATTTCACGTCCCCGGCACGCTGTTTGCGGCGGCGTGCGAAGGGCACCCGGCAGGCGCACCTTGGCGGTGTCGAAGCCCTCGCTGAACAGCATGATCTCGCAGATCTGCTCCATGTCGGGCACCACCATGGTCACGGGGCGGAACAGCGCCTTGAGGTTGTCCGGCAGCTCCGTGCGGCCCGCGTACCTAGGACGTGCGTGCGTCACGTGATGCGGGGGCTGCAGTTTAGTGCTTGGCGGAGGGCGGACTCCTGACTGAGCAGGAAAGCAAAGCACAAAAATGCACTTGACGGGCCTGAGTGCTAACAAGAAGATGTGTGAGTGTGTGTGTGTGTGTGTTTGTGTGTGTGTGTGTGTTTGTGTGTTTGTGTGTGTGTGTGTGTGTGTGTGTGTGCGCGCGC